AATTACTTCCTTGGAGGAACACCCTGTCTGTTCCACCCAACCATTTTTAGGTTCAGTGTTCTGAAACTTCCAATTGGCACTGACTTCTTTTTAATGCCTGAACAGAGAGAAGGGGAAAACAAAACAACAGCAAACATTTCTTCCAATACAATTTATTAGATATAAAATGAGTAATCTCCTATGAGGAGAACAGCACAGTGTTTTTTATTAGCAGCAGGGAGACGAGTTCCACTCAGACTTACGTGGCAGAGTTCAGAATATTGCACCACACCATTTAAGCACTCACCCTGTGCAGCCTGGAAAAGTTTCCCTGCTGTGGATGCAGGCCAGGCTTTCTCCATCCTTCCCTCACCATAAGCACGTTCCTTTTCTCAAGTCATATTGTGAAATTCTCAGCAGCACATTTACTGCCAGTCCTGCAGGCCCTACTAAAGCTTCTCGTGCATTAAGGATGGGGATATTTTCTGTGTTGTTTTGTCAGTATATTACAACAAAGTATCACCCAACTGACACATGGAACAAAAGAAAAATCGTTGAACTCATTGGTTGCAAATTGGTGCTGTACATTGTCTTTTCAGAACTGCAGTTTCACTTAAAGATAAATAAGTAAAATACTTTTACTGCATCCAGCTTCTCTTTTACTGATTAGGGAGGAATAGTGGAGCTTGGATCCTGGTTTTAAAAGTCTAATGGGGCATGAAATAAATAGCTCTCATGACAGTACAGAACGGAAAAAAGATAGATGATTATTAAACTGTGTGTAAAAGTCATCTTTATTGCCCTATTGTTGTTTTGGCTTCGCTCTGAGACGTGGGGAAGGCTCAGAAAAGCCTGAGCATGTTTCTTGGCAGCTCTTCATAAGCAATGAGCCCTGTGGAAAGCCCCATGAAATTCATGATTCTGTTGAAAAATAAGGCCAGAAAAATGTTGCAAGAGGCAAAAAAAAAAAAAAAAAAGTAGTGTTTCTTTAAGACAATGTCAGTAAAGGTGACAAGAGAGGTGGTTTTGAAGGAGCAGAATTCCTTGGATATTTTTCAGGGATTTTTTTTCTCTCTCTATTTTTTTCCTTCTTTTTTTTCCTTTTTTGTTATTTTTGCATGAGTTAGCAGCAAAGGAGATCCACCTGTTAAAGTTCCACCTGTCACTATAACTTGGTTCTAATCTGAAAACTGCAATAATTTGTGGTATATCGGACTGCTCTCTCTCTCTTCATCTGTCCAGCATCTGCTTGCATGTTACCTATTCTCTTTAGCTTTGATTAAAGAGAGTAAGTGTGCCTTGATGGAACAAAAGCATTATTTGGGATTAAAAAAGATGTGTAACTGATGATAAAATAAATGTAGCTGTGGTTTTCCTCTCTGTTTTATAGAAGCACTTCAGAAACCCAAACTGGAGCTGGGATTTGAGAACATGTAGAGAGAGGAAAATGGGGAGGTTGGATGGTTTTCTACACTTGAGAAAGCATTACACTGAAGTTCTCTCTTGTTTTAGCATGATCAAATATCCTTCACAAAGAGAAGCAGTGCTGCTAGGAGTTGGCCTAAGATGAATGTCCAGTCTGTTTTTAGGTTCACATAACTATCCAGTGAGAAATTTGGACTAGACCTTTAATTGCTGCACAGAGAAGCAGCCCTGTGTCACTCCAAAAAAAAAAAAAAAAAAAAAAGAGGATCACATTTTTCCTCTGATACTGACATTAAAGCAACCAATGAATATTGAGCTCTCAGGTCTGAGGGCAGATTTTTTGGCCCAGATAATTTTCTGAGTGAATAAAATATGAGAAAGACATTGTGTAGCTGGTGCCTTGGGCTTTGCTTTTCAAAATGTGTTTTATTTCCCTGGCATGCTTTCTACTGAACATTGGTGGAGCCTGAAATAATGACCAAGAGGTATTTTCTTCCTGAGATGAGGCTGCTCTAGTTGCAAGGCATTCCCAAGTGAGCTCCCTAATGAGTGATAGATGGGAAAAATAACAAGAAGGATCCTTAAATGTTCCAAGTTTTGCATGAAAAATATCATTTTTTTGGATGCTGTGTTTGGTACCTAGCCTAGAATTCTCCTACATTTTGATAGTGGTGTCTTCAGAATGACACAGTGAGTCATAATATTTGACATTTGGGGAGATTTTTACTGGATCTCTAAGCACTTGTCATGACTGTTCAGAAGAATACTTTAAGAAGAATTATGGTTTCCTTTGAGAGTTTTGATACTGTTCATATTTTTTTAGGGCCTGTTTCCTTTGCTTCAAAACAAAACAAAACAAAAAATAGAAACTTCAAAAGTATGTATTGACCATTTTTAGTGAAAGGACAGTTGAAGGCATCTATCCACACTCTCTTCAGTTCTTAGATGGCCTTCCAAAATTATTTCCAGCTTTAGCTCATTTGAGCTCTTTTCATGTCACCAGCCAGTTAAATTTAGATGTTTATTTTCCCATGAGATCCATAGCACACGAGGGACATGGGGAATACCGAGATGACAAACTGGCAGCTCTCCAAGCTTTGTAGCAAGGTGTGACCTGCTGATGTTCAGGTCTGAGGGAGTGCCTTTGTTAGATTTTGGGAGGGTTGGTGGCCTGTGGGCTTGGGGATGGCAGTAAACAGACCTGTCCCAGTTCTGCCACCTCAGAAGGTGTCAGCAGTGTTCACAGCCATAGGAACTGAACATCTCTCATTGCTTTTGAGGGGCAGCAAAGTGCAGTGGCCAACCCCAAGCCCAGATCTGTTCCCTGGTTCCCATGGATCTCCAGTATTCAGTTTCTTTGGCACATTCCCTTTCCTCAGATGGATATTTTCATTATATTTGCACAGGGTTTGTCCAGGGCTGTAAAAAGATTTGGTAGCCTGTGACCGTGTTCACAGGGGTCTGAGGATGAGGGAAGAGATGAGAATGTTGACTCCATGTTTCAGAAGGCTGATTTATTGTTTTATGATCTATATTATATTAAAACTATACTAAAAGAATAGAAGAAAGGATTTCATCAGAAGGCTGGCTAAGAATAGAAAAGGAATGAAATGATAACAAAAGCTTGTGTCTTAGACAGAGTCCGAGCCAACTGACTGTGATTGGCCATTAATTAGAAACAACCACATGAGCCCAATCCCAGATGCACCTGTTGCATTCCACAGCAGCAGATAACCATTGGTTACATTTTGTTCCTGAGGCCTCTCAGCTTCTCAGGAGAAAAAATCTTAAGGAAAGGATTTCTCATAAAATGTGTCTGTGGCAGTAACCTTTAACAGTGGTGGCTGCCTGGGATCCCTTGGCTCCAGGTGGAATTGCCTGTCCTGTAACTTCTGTGCACAATAAACTGCAGGATGCCAAGGCAGACTCCCCTGGCAGTGCCAGCCCAGCACCAGGCCAGGAGGGTTTGTAAAAAAGCCAGGAGGGTGTGTATGGCCCACGAGGATGGGGTTTGTGCTGGCAGTGCCCCCTCCCATGGGTTGTGTTCCTGCTCTCATTTACATTAGACAGCTCTCAAAAGCAGATTTAGGACACGTTCATGTTTGAAACACAGAAAAACAATTGAGTAGTTTTGGCAAACACATATTATACTTCCATTCTAAGAGGAAGAGTCATATCAAGAGCTGTGTATCTTGTACTGGACACAAGATGTGTGGACACTTGTGCTTCCACAAGTGGGAGGAATAACCTGACAGAGCAGTAGCACCTGGGGGAGTTAACAAACCACACCTATCAGCACCAGAATAATCCTCAAAACTGTGCTCTCAGCCAGCTCACCAGATCACAGAACTGATAAAAGATGGATGGTTCTGATTTGCATTTTCCATCTGAATTTTGATCTTTGTGGTTTGCTTGGCTTGTGTTTTCAAGTGTTTCTCTGTAACCACTAGAGTGTAGCGAAATGTAAGGATTTTTGAAAATGGCATTTCTCCCAGGACAGGTGGAGCTGCAGCTCCATGAAAACCTTCCAGAATAGTGCCAGCCCACCAGTGCCTCCCACATTATCCTTTTTCCCCAGCATTCCCATGGCCTGTTCCTTATGTGATGGTGTGTACCATGCACAGGGACAGAAAATATGCGTACCCTTGAAAGCCTGCAGATGTGCTCCTCTGGTGGAGCTGCACAGGGGGGCTTTGGGACTGTAGATTTTGGGGGGTTCCATGCTGAGATTACCTGACCTTTGCTTTCCCTGCAAGGCTTTGGGAGGTGTGGGATAGGTTTCTGTGTGATTCTAGGGAAGGCAAAGATCTCTGTGGTCTTTGGCTGGATCTCAAAGCCTGGGGTACTGAAGTGTGACCTAATAATTCAGAACTCAGAGAAGGATTGTATTTAAATAAACTATCACGGCTTGAATGTTCTACAGCTATTAATTATTAAAACTTATACAAATCCAGGGAGGTTCATGGCATGTTATACACCAGACCTAGAAACAGCTGAGCTGGGCTTACATGAGGTAGATTTTTTTCTGAAAAGACATCATCTCCTGTGAGCACAATAGAGCTAGTACTTCTCTTATAAATAGTGAATGTTTTATAATTGCATGCAGTCCTAAAGCTGGTTCCTATTATGGAGAGTCACAGAGGTTTTGGGGGGAGGGTTTGTGGGTTGTTGTTCTTTCCCAGAATGATGTCCAATCAGCTTCTTTGGCAGTGTATTAACCATGGCTGAAATATGTGCCCGTGTGAAAATGTTGGGGTCTAATGAGCAACTTCACTTTTGTGTCACTTTCTTGCTTTGAAATAAGAGGTTCTGGGTCAGGAGCTGCCCATTTGATCCCTTGTCTGTCTCCAAGTGGAGTTCATACATCAGTGCTTTTATATCAGGCTTTCAAACCCCTGTGATAGGAACAGTGTGGTCACTGTAGGTCAAAGGAGCTGATTTAATGAAGTCTCACATGCCCTCAACAAGCAATTTTGTCACTTCCTGCTGAACTACTGAGCTGTCTCCACTTGGGGAGATTGGCCACCCCTGGACATCATGGGTGTTCAACATTGTTCAAGCTGTGTCACAGCTTTTTTGCTTTTCCTTTGCCTCAGGTGAACTGTGTGATGAGGTGATTAACCACTGTGTTCCTGATCTAAATCCCTGCCAGCATGAGTCCAAATGTGTTCCCCTGGACAAAGGAACCAGGTAAGAGAGTGTGTGTGTGTGTGTGTGTGTGTGCTGGTCTCTGCACAGAGGGCACTTTCATCCATTGGCTTCACTGGGGTTGTACTGGCAATGAGTGGGGACAAAAATCTCCAAAATTAACACAAAGTATGCAAGGCTATGTACATTTCAGTTGTCTGTGCCATATTTTAACTTTAATCCATATATACATACTTCTCTTGGTCTCTCCACAGAGGGCACTTTCATCCATTGGCTTCACTGGGGTTGTACTGGCAATGAGTGGGGAGCAAAAATCTCCAAATTTAACACAAATAATGCAAGACTATATACATTTCATTTGTCTGTGCCACATTGTAACTTTAATGCATCCATACATACTTTTCTAGCTTTCTGTGGTTTACTGAAAATAATGGATGTACCCCCAGAGCAGAGGAATTATTCTGGAATAGAGCATGGCAATAGGAGAATTTATGGAACAGTCACTGCAAAGCACCTTATCCTACATCACAAACCAAGGACAGTTTCCTTGTGTGACCCTTAGGGCACTTATAAATTCAAACAGTGTAACAGGAGCCTGAACAGATCCAGAGCTGGGTGCCTCCAGCTCAGGAGCTGCCTTTCCCATTGGCCTTGCTTGGCTCATCTGGGCTTTGGTGATGTCTGTGTTTGCATTTTCCTGTTGGGAATGACACTGGCTGTGTCACAGGGGTGAGAGAAAGCCTTGTGTTCTGGATGGCAGCAAAGCACCAGGAGCTTTGGGCCTGGGGACTTGGAGAGGTGCACAGTGTTCATGGCTTCTGTGGAGAGCAATTTAGCAAACAGAGACAGCTGGACAGTCCAGCTCTGTGAAATCCTTCTCAGCTAAAGATCTCTGGAGACAAATGCAGGAGAGTTCAGTGCAGAGTGAGCTGCTGTCTGCACCTTCCCTGAGGTGTGCTCACAGTGCAGCCCTGGGTGCTCACTGATCCCCTCCTGGGGCTCTGTCCTCTCCCAGGACAGGGAAGGTGACAGGCTTTGTTCCTCCTGGCAACTTCCAGCTGAGGTCACATTGTGTCCTATGAAGCAGCCAGCATGTCAGAACAGTGTGAACTGACACACAGGACATTAGAGAGGGTGGCTATCTCAAGGGCAGCTGGCTCTCTGCTAGACAGGCAGTACAACACCAGCCTTTCTTTTGGGTGAAAAGCCTCCAGACAGAAATGTTTCCAAATCTTGAAGAAGATGAAGCTATTAAATGATGAGGATGGTTCCTGAACTGATGGGTAGGCACCAGACAAGGAGGTGTGTGCCAGTGCATAAATAGTCCCTGATGTTCTTTCCAGGATTCATTCCCAATTAATCCATCATTTGGTTAATCCAACACTTTTGCTTAATTCAGTAGCTATATCATGTTTTGAGGTGAAGGCTAGTGACTCAAATTGCTTTCTTTTAGAGCATGAAGGGGTGCAGGCAGCTGTGGCCCTGAATGGTTTACCCATTTCTGGAAGCATTGTCATACCTGCACCCAAACAATTTGAGTAAACAAGATACATTTTCTCACAATCTTGCTAGAAAAGTGTTCTTCACAGTAGGGCCACTAGCCCTTGAGGGGAGCTAAATAACTGCTTTTAAGTATTTTTTGCTATTCTTTGTTGTGTTATTCTTCCCACTATTCATAGAACACTGTCACAGACATCTTTTATGAAAAATCCTTTCCTTAGGATTTTTTCTCCTGAGAAGCTGAGAGGCCTCAGGAACAAAATGTAACCAATGGTTATCTGCTGCTGTGGAATGCAACAGGTGCATCTGGGATTGGGCTCATGTGGTTGTTTCTAATTAATGGCCAATCACAGTCAGCTGGCTTGGACTCTGTCTGAGCCACAAGCTTTTGTTATTGATTCTTTCTTTTTCTATTCTTAGCTAGCCTTCTGATGAAATCCTTTCTTCTATTCTTTTAGTATAGCTTTAATATAATATATATCATAAAATAATAAATCAAGCCTTCTGAAACATGGAGTCAGATCCTCGTCTCTTCCCTCATCCTTGGACCCCTGTGAACACGGCCACAGAACAATACAGAAAAATCCATTATTTCTTTACTCCTTCTGTCCCATTTGCTTCCTAGCAGCCAAACTTGAGAAGTGAAGGAGCCTTGAATGTAGAGGTGTCCAAGCATTGCTATTTCTTTCATACTTTGGTGGCCCCAGACCATTCAGAAATGAGCCCTCAGCAGTTGTGCAGTGATGTATGGATGCTGCTGGGGCTCTGAAACCAGCAGCCTGTGCTCCTGTGCTGGAGCTGATCCCCTGAGCTCCTGTGGTGCAGGATGAGGCTCCTGCAGGAGGAGTCTGGCTCCTGTCTGTCTGTCTGTCTGTCTGTCTGCTTCAGAGGCACAGGGTGTCAATGGCAGGAGTGCCCTGGGCATGTGAGCAGGACACAGCAGTCTGTCTGTCCTGCTCAGATGCCCAGGGCACAGAGCCTGACTGTCAGCTCTGGTCAGTCTGCAGCCCTGCAGAGGGAAGAAAAGATGACAAAGACAGGGAAAAAAAAATAGGAAGCCAAGTTATTTATTGAGGTGGGGAGGGAAATTCCATTCTGGCCCTGCCATAGAAGCTGTGATTCACTGCTTGAATACAACAGACATTGAGTGCATGCAGATGCAAATCCCCTCAGATAGGCCAACAATTTAAATACCACTGGACATGTTTTAGGCTCTCTGTGATACTGGGAATGTTGCCATCACTACAAGGCTGTAGGAGAAAACAAGTTTTGAACTGTAGTGGTGTCAGATGGTCACTGGGAAATGAGATATCTAATTGTGTAAAATACTCTCTTGCCAGGATCAGAACGTGAAGGTTTCTTTGCCACCTTCTTTACTTCTTAACATCAGATTTTACTGACTGACCCTCAGTCCCTTGCTGGCATGTGTGGGACTGTGGGATAAGGATGGAGTTACCAAGCCTCATGCCCTGATGGCACAGACCCTGGGTTTCTAGGAGGAGTCCAGATGAGGAACTCATGGGGCTGAATTTCTCCCCTCCTGGACTTCAGGCAGGCATTTTTTGGTAGCTTCAGCTTAGATGTGACACACCAAGAGCTCAGAGGAGACTGACCCAAAAGGAATTCCATGCTTCTAAAGCCAAGCTTGGAAGCAAACTGGACTATTTCAGTGTGTCTTTGGCTGCACAGAGCTCTTTGCTTTTGGAGTTAAATTTGCAGGTGGCTTTCCTCCCTTCCAGCCTCCACATCTTTAGTATGCTGTTATTGTACAGAAGAAGAGTAGCTTTCTATATGCCAGAAAACAAAACAAAAAAAACAGCCTTTAACACAATGAAATTACTTCCAAAAAATAACTTCAAGAAAGGAGCATGTTTTTCCATTCACTGTATTGATGTTGGAGCATGATATAAATATACTTTATTATTCTAAAGCTTGGAATTATTACCTGACAGCTTAAAATGCTGATTTAATGCAGCCCCGCAGAGAAAAGTGGCGGTTCTGTCATTACTGAGATAGCCAATACACATCATAAAAGTGATGCATGGCAGCCCTGAATAAGGAACTGCACATTGTTCATTATTACATCACTTTATATTAGGACTGCAGGGATCAATAAAAAACAACAGGATTAAATGCTGCCAGTTCCCCTCACAAAGTCTTTTGATTGACACTATTTCCTTGCAGGTGTGTCTGCAATGCTGCCAGAAAATGCTGCCCATTTCTTAGGGTTTGGGGTGGGAACACCTCTTGTTTTTTGCTCTTTGCTCTGATTTGTCATCTCCATTATGTTAACCACAGTATTCCCTGAGGCAGCAAGGTGTAAAATAGCAATGCACACGTGCAGAGGTGGGAGATGGACCCTCCTGTGGCTGCCAGGTGGTGGTGGGGCTGTCCTGCAGGGAGGGAGGGTTCTGCATGCCCCCACCCCTGCCCAGGGACAGAACAGGCTGTGCCCCATTTCCTCCTTCAGGCAGTCAGGCCATGCTCTGCAAGGGCCTGGAGCTCACATTCTCTGTGAGTGACCCCTGGGTGGGGTGGCTGCTGTCACCCTGCAGCCTCTCCTGGCCACTGGCACTCACAGGTGACACTGTTGATCCTGCAGAGTCACCCAGCTCAGCCCTGGGAGCAGCCAGGAGCCACCTGCTGTCACTGGGGACAGCAGCCAGCACGAGGATGCTGCCTGGGAAGTGGAAGTGGTGTTTCCTCATCACTCCTGTGTGTCCAGTTCCTCTGAAGAGGTTTTCCACAAGGTTCCCCCTGCATTTACCCCACCAGGCTGCTGGCAGGGAGGAGGAGGAGGAGGAGGAGGCCAGCTGAACAGATTGATGGAGCAGTAGCCTCTCTCCTGATGCCACATCCTCAGCTTTATAATGTCTCTCCTCTTCCAGCTCTCAGTGACTAGCATGTTGGGTCCAACCACAGGCTCTAGCAAGAGCACAAACCTCTCTTTTAGTGCTGAAATTCTCTGCAGCTCTTCCCCTGATTTGCTTGAAGTGGTATGCCGTTTGTTTTCCAGATGTGCAACATCCAGCTGGGAGGACTAAAATGTGTTTTATGGACTAAAGAGTGTTCATGACTAAACATTGCCTACAGTATAGATTCAAAAAAAGGCTGCTCAGCAATCCCAAAAGATCTGATCCAAGTCAGAGACTTTGGGATGCATTTTCTATTGTCAGGTTATACACTTCTGCAAGACTTATAAATAGAAATGCTGATGCAGCCTTCGTATAGCAGACTTGAAAATTGTATAAAATAAAACCAACAGGCAACGTCTGCAGGTCTGGGTACATCCCACTGTGCTCCATCCCACGGTGTCACCCCACAGCAGAAGGTGCAGTGTCACCATGGCAAAGGACATGCTGCACAGACAACTTTCCACTGCTGCAGCAGTTTTGAATGGAAATGAATTTTGCCAATGAATGGAAAGTAGGTGGTGGTCTCAAAACTTGGTCTTTCTCTCTGAATTTGCTGAGGTTTATGGCTTGTTCACAGACTGTTTTGGAAGGTGGACCTTTCCTGTGTACAGGGCCAAGCTCAATTACCCAGCAGTGTGCAGGCACTGGCAAAATCATATTGTGGGGTATGACACTGCCCTTGCAGAATATTGCCCCTTATTCTGTAGGGTCAGGGAGGGGATTGCCACCTTTAGCACAGCTGGGACTCTGTAGGGTGAACACCCCTCTCACAGACTCAGCTGAGGAGAAGCTGTGGGATGGTGGTGCTTTGCTAGACTGGAATTTCAGCAGGTTGCAGAAGCTCAAATGCAGGCAGCCAGGAGGGACCTGGGCGGGAGCTGTGCTTGATGCTGCCAGCAATAATTGCAAACATGTCCCCACCCCACATCCACCAGGTGCTGGGCTGCCTGAGCGAGCTGCGGTGTGAAAGGAGCCATTAACAGGGATGTTCTGCCTTTCAGATGCGAGTGCCTGCCGGGCTACAGCGGCAAGCACTGTGAAGTGGATGATGATGACTGCGTGGGCCACAAGTGCCGCCACGGAGCCGCCTGCGTGGACGCGGTCAATGGCTACACCTGCGTGTGCCCGCAGGGCTTCAGGTACGGCAGGGCTCACCCCCATCCTCACCAGCCTCTAACAGCACTGATCTGATACCTTCATCAGCCTCTAACCCAGCCCTGACATCCCCATCAGCCTCTAACCCAGCCCTGACATCCCCATCAGCCCCTAACCCAGCCCTGATCTGACATCCCCATCATCCTCTAACCCTGCACTGATCTGACATCCCCATCAGCCCCTAACCCAGCCCTGATCTCCCATCCTCACGAGCCTCTAACAGCCCTGATCTGATACCCTCATTAGCCCCTAACCCAGCCCTGACATCCCCATCAGGCCCTAACCCAGCCCTGATCTCCCATCCTCACCAGCCTCTAACAGCACTGATCTGACATCCCCATCATCCTCTAACCCTGCACTGATCTGACATCCCCATCAGCCTCTAACCCAGCCCTGATCTGACATCCCCATCAGCCCCTAACCCAGCCCTGATCTCCCATCCTCACGAGCCTCTAACAGCACTGATCTGATACCCTCATTAGCCCCTAACCCAGCCCTGACATCCCCATCAGGCCCTAACCCAGCCCTGATCTCCCATCCTCACGAACCTCTAACAGCCCTGATCTGACATCCCCATCATCCTCTAACCCAGCCCTGATCTCCCATCCTCACCAGCCTCTAACCCTGCACTGATCTCCCATCCCCATCAGCCCCTAACCCACCACTGATCTGACATCCCCATCATCCTCTAACCCAGCCCTGATCTCCCATCCCCACCATCCTCTAACCCAGCCCTGATCTGACATCCTCATCATCCTCTCCCAGCCCTGATCTGGCATCCCCCTGTGAACAGGTGCCTGTCCCTGCTTAAAAGGAGGTTTTAACAAGTTAACTGGATATTTTTTGCTTGGAAAGCAGCGATTTTGGGGCAGTGCTGTGTGAATGTGCCTGCCCCAGCCATCCCTGCTCACACACTAAGCACACCACCTAACACACCCACCTAAGTTATATGGAGATAAACCCTGCATGTGCAGAGTGAGCAAAGGAGAATAAAATTGTGTTTATGAACCCTCCCAACTGGCTGCAAGGAAAACGTGAGTCTGAAGATTTTGTGGCAGTGTCTCTGTGCCTCTTGGACGAGCTCAGTATGATTCAGGCTGTAAATTTCCAGCCTCTCATTCTGACAGCTGCCAATATATCTGACTCCTGGAAATCTCTGTCTGTCAAAGATAAGTGTGCTCCTCCAAATGGATTCACTAATCATTGCCTGGGGCTGGATACTGGCTTCCTTCCAGCTAAACCTTTTCTGTGTTTGAAATACACACATGAGACAAAGAAGGAGTACCTGAAATGATCAGTCTTGACAAAGCAGAAATTGCATGAACACTTATAAATCATCTTCTCTGCTTTGTATCTGCAACTGTTTTCATTCTTCTTGCTTTCATCCTTGCTGGTTTGGGGTTTTTTCCCTTCCCTCCCAACACACGTTTCTGTTGCAAAGCAGACAGCCTTCCCTGAACAGGCATTGATACACAACATGATGTCAGCCCATGGTTTCACAGAATCAGGCTTGTTATTTACAAGCTATCAGATATCCTCTGAATTTCAAAATTCTCTCCATGTTTCACTCTCTGCTCCAGTCCATTTGATGGCCTTAGGGATCCTGCAGATTGGTGACTGGTGAGGCTAACGTGACTGTGGGATGTAAATCCTCAGTGTTATCCAATTGTTAAAGCTGAGAAATGGGATTGCAAAGCCACATCTGGAGTCAAGGCTAACTCCAGCCTGTCATCACATGGGGCTGACTGGGAGACTTTTGCTGCAGGCCCTCTGATTTTTAAGGCCTGTAAGCACTAGGCAGTGATGAATGTGAGGGTTTTTTTCTGGGAAAGCAGAGTCACAGTGTTGGTCAGAGATGTTCTGAGTTGACACAGCTGGGTGGAGCAGCAGGGGTAGGTGGGAGGTTGGTCTGGTCCCTTCCCATGTACCAAAGAGCTCTACTGGCAATTTAGGCAGTGCCCCAGGTTGTCTGGTCTCACACCAGTGGCATCAAGAGCAGGACCTGGAGCAGTCCAGTCTCCTCTCTTGATCAGATGAGGGGCTCTCATTCCACTAACAGTCCTCCAAGTAGAGGAGGAATCTTTCTACACTAAGCTCCAAAGCTCAACTACCAGCTTAGACAGCACTTCACAGCCCAGGGCAACCATGGGCAAGCAAAGCAACTCCACTGCCTGTCAACAGCACAGCCAGGATTAACTTCAGCTCTCCTGTTGGCTTTCTTTTTTCCACTAGTCCATGCCACTTCCTTAAATTTCCTGTGCAAGATGCAAGGAAGACAAGGGTCTTTGGGGAGGAAAACCTCACACTGAGTACTACTACACTCCCTCTGCCAAGGCAGACAGCAAGATGGAGCCCCATGTGTTCCCCATGCAGAACAGTCCCTGATCTTGTTTGATTGCAGGATTAAAATTCTGCTAACAAAATATGATCTCATTATTCTTCCCATGACTCAAGCCTTTTGTAGTTTAAAGGCCTGCTGCTCTGAAGGGGGTTCTGAGGTTTGGGCTTTTTTCCTGTTAAGATTACAAATGCAAATATGGTGATTGACAGAGCTCAGCCTTCTGATGTTCAGGGTTGCAGACTCCCCTGTCCTCACAGCTGCCTTGGGCACGGGGATGTGTGACAAGGAGATAACTGTGCACGTGTTTGAAGGCTGCAAGTGTTGATGAAAAGGAGAAAACACGAGGGGTGGCCCAACAAAGGTAACTAGGAGACCTAAGATGATGATTAATAAAATTTTTTGGCAGAGTATCAGGAATCATTTCCCAGCAGTGAGTTTGCAGAGTGCCCTCCCAATTATCCAGAGCTTATGCTGTTGTAATAAAAGCACAGACCTGTAATGATTTTATGGTTGTCACTACACTGTGTGTCAAAGCCACACATTAAAAAGATGTTAAAACTTCCATCCTCACACAGCTGAACAAATGGCATTGGGTAATTCTGAGCAGTGTAGGTAGGGCCTCATGCACAGTGAGGCTCTCATGACAGCCCCAAAAATCAATAGTGCCACCATGCACACGCTCACTCTCCTATTTCATCACTTCCCATTCACTGGTCAGGTGTAGCTGTGCTCCTTGCAGCACCTTTCCTTAGCACTCACCAACTTCTCCCAGCTGCAGAATCTGCTTTCCTCCTGAAAAGTTTTCAGTGTTTTCTTCCCAAAATAGCACTCATTTGCCCCCTGCAGATGAAAACATTTTAGAGAATTTGTGAGCCCTGCTGAATAAACCCCGAGTTCTCCGAGCTTCCCTCCAGCAATCAGCCTCACAGAAGTGCTGCCTGATAAATGCTGCTCTGGTGGGGAAGCACACATTATCTGCAGAGCCTGATGGAAGCACTGCTCCTCTGTGCTGCAGATGCTTCTGAGCTCTCCACTGGGACAGGCTCCTGCAAGGAACTCACAGTGATTATTTAAATAAATGAGATTGTACCAGGCAGAATGGACTTGGCCAAGCTATGGAAGGGAGTCAGGCTGTGTTCCACATTTCCACTGCTGGGGAAATAAATCTTATTAATTATTTCTAAATATATACTTATAAAAAATGTTTAAAATTATAAAGGAAAGGGCCTTGACAGAGCTGTCACTAATGTAAGTTCTAGGTGCCAGTATCAGGAGAGCTGCCCTGGTAAAGCCACACACCAGGGGGGGTTCACAACAAGCAAGGGTGTGCAGGAGCCATAGCAGGAGCTTGGGGAATCTTTCAGAGCACACTAAGCACAGACACTCTGGCTTCTTCCAACATTTGCTTTCTGTTAGTGGAGGCTGTTGTGGGTCACATGGATTTTTTATTATGATTATTTTTAACTTCCAAAACATTAAAATTATACGCACTGATTTTCCTTCTGTTTCCTACTTGCTGCCAAAGACAAAACAAAACAATGGGCATTAGGTAGAATGGAGCTCACAGGCTGGGTTAGCAGTGCTCTGTTCTGCTGGTACCTCTGGAAAGGGATTCCCTTGTTTGCAGAGTAGACTCAAATCACAGATGTAGGATGGGCAGGTCTCAGGTTTGGGTTTGAATGGCTCACAGGCTTCACTGGGAAGCTCTGCAGGGCACAGTAGGGGTGGAAGCTGTTTCAGCCAGGCTGCAGTGCCTTGCAGAGCTGTAGAACCAGAGCAAAGGGCACTTCAGGCTGCTCTCAGTGTCTGCACTGCCTTGTTCACACCCAGCTCAGGATCCCTGCCAGCACTCAGCTGGGCTCCTTCCACAGCAGGCACACAGCAGGTGCCTGCACCTCAGAGCCACTGCTCCAAAGCAGAAGGGCAGTGATGCCCTAGGATTTCAGCTTTTCTATTTTTCAGATCCTGCACTGCTTTAGTGTATAGCTCTGAAACTCCATGGCCTGTCAGCTGCTGTTTTCCCATTTCATTGAGATAAAACAATTCCTCTCTAGGCCTGGAACTCAAGGACACCTCACTGTCTCAGGCCCCAGAGATGTAAACAGCAGTGAACTGGGGGGAATAACTTGAAGTAAATTACTTCATTACCTGAAAATGTAATTGGAGAATTAACCCCAGAGATGTAAATGGACCAAACTCACAATTACCTGAAAAACTCGTGACCATCATTCCACCTGGGTCACCAGAACTGATGCCTTGGAGTTTGTTAGGAAAATTAATCCACAAACACCAGAGGTTTATGTCCAAAAAGGAGACAGAGGAGTCCTTTGACTTTATTTGAATAAAGGGAGAGGCCATGGGTGCATTCCCCTGGGGTCTCCAATTTTTGGAGGATGCAGCCTCCTTTTATCCCAATTTCCCGGCCGCATTTCCCTGCTCTCTTTCCCCATTGGCTAAGGTACTTGAGAAGTTCAGACTTCCCAGAATGTCTGATACCAAAGATTTCCCTCTAATGTATAACCCTCCCTTTTAATTTTTAATTCTTACAGAATTTAGGGGTTTTTCTTCCGCATTGTTTCTTTCATCTTTCAGTGTCTAATTTCATTTATCAGCAAACCTAAAGTTTATTTGTAAAAGCAAATATCTTTTTCCATACATCAATCAGTGGAATCCTTCCATTGTTTCTTTTATCTCCCAGTGCTGGTTTCATCCACCAGCAGACCCAGAGCTTGTTTGTAAAGACAAACCCTCTATTCCTCTCAGAGTGGCCACCTAAAACAGAGGCTAGACAAGATTAAGAGAGTAAAAGTGAGTCTATTGGAATGTTACCAATATTGCAGATGGGACGTGCCTGAGCTTGTCTGGCCCTTGGTGCTGAACCAAACAGCAGCACTGTGGTGTTTCACCCCACAGACACCTTTGGCTGGCTGGGTGTGTGGTGTTTCACCCCACAGACACTTAGGGCTGGCTGGGTGTGTGGTGTTTCACCCCACAGACACCCTTGGCCAGCTGGATGTGTGGTGTTTCACCCCACAGACACCCTTGGCTGGCTGGGTGTGTGGTGTTTCACCCCACAGACACCTTTGGCTGGCTGGGTGTGTGGTGTTTCACCCTACAGACACCTTTGGCTGGCTGGGTGTGTGGTGTTTCACCCCACAGACACTTGGGGCTGCCTGGGTGCTGCAGTTGGCATGTGGGGACAAGTCCAGGCCTGCAGGAGCTCTGGTGGTGGTGGGATGGAGCTTCCCCCCATAACAGGGGCTGCTCCTCAGGTTTCCCTCTGTGGAGAAGCTTTAAGGTGATGGTGAAGGAAAGGAGTTGGTTCTGATGGAGGGTTTGGATCCAGAGCTTTATTCTGGCCCTCAGGCCTCTGAATGCAGCACCAGCTCCCACAGAACTCCCTGAGCCCGTGGCTGCTGCTCCTTTGAACCCCGGGGAGAGGGCAGGGAAGGGGCAGGGAGCCACCAAGCAGGGACAGGAGGGGAGGGACAAAGGGACAAAGGACACCTGGATGGCCCAATGTCCCCCGGGGGTAGAGGGCATCCTGTGAATCTGCCAATCACTCGAGGACCTTCTGGAATGCCAGGACTGACAGACAGTGCTGGGAGGGGAAAGGAGAGGCTACTGATACATCTGGCAGGGAATTATCAGGAGGGAGGGACCCAAGGTTCTGAGCTAAACCCTGAAATCACAACGCAACACGAGTATTTATTAAGAACCTTCTGCTTTTATTCTCTTAATTCTGTCCAGCCTCTATTTTAGGCAACCACGCCAAGGCATCAGCAGCACCTGACACAAAACCAATAAAGTGCTGGTGACTGAGGCTGAACTTTCCTTCCCTTTGCAGTGGCCTGTTCTGCGAGACGCCGCCGCCCATGGTGCTGCTGCAGACGAGTCCGTGTGACAATTACGAGTGCCAGCACGGCGCGCAGTGCGTGGTGGCGCAGCACGAGCCCGTGTGCCGCTGCCTGGCCGGCTTCGCGGGGCAGCGCTGCGAGAAGCTCATCACCGTCAACTTCGTGGGCAAGGACTCCTACGTGGAGCTGCCCCCCGCCAAAATCCGCCCCCAGGCCAACATCTCCCTGCAGGTTTGTCGCAGTAAAGGCTTAGCTGGAGGCTGCACGGGGGGAAAGTGATGTTTGTTGGTGATGCTGTGTCCTCCTGTAATTGGAGGAAAATGCATTTTCTAATCTGCTGTTGTGGAAACTCAGGGAACTGGGAATATTTCTCTGCCTGCTCTGGGGTGCCCTGACCACCAGGGCAGCACTGACTTTGACCCTCATTCATGGAGAAAGCTTCCCAGATTCAAGATAGACTGGAATCTGCAAAAGTGTGCAATAGATTACAGAGAGTAGTGTAGGTGTATCACTTGGTGAGAAATTTAGGCTTCGGGATTTTTAGTATGTTGTGGATGGAAGCAAGATGGAGGGCACAGGGTGTCATCCTGGGTTTCTTCTTCATGCTTCTTCTTCCTTCTTCTCCATGGGTTTGGGTGGCATTTTGTAATTGGGCAGAAAAGTCTGCATTGTGGGCTCTTTGGGATTATTATTGGGTTAAAAGGGAAAATAATCCAGGTGTCAGTTCTTGATTGGATAGTTTAGTCTTAAAAGACCTTGTAACAAGAGATTGTTGGCCATTTTGTGCCTTCTAATGAAAAGCTACCAAACTCACAGTAGTGAGACTGTTTTTCTGATAAGAAATAATAAACACCTGAGTCCCAACATGAACTACTGTCTCAAGTGCCTTCAATCCAGACCCAGAGAAACCCATAACTGGTACACCCACAACTGTAAAGTTTCAGTTTCTGGTGAATTTTCTCCTTGTAATTGTTCCAATTAATCAGTTTCTTTGTTGATATCTAGCATTAAGCAACTGTACCAAGACAGAAGAGTGAATGTGTTGGATAATGACAGCCTGGCCAGAGAGAGAGAAAGCTAGATAAGGTTCCCCAGAATCAGCCCAGGAGACTTTAGGGAGCTGGAGATGAACAATGATAGCCAATTATTAAAACAACCTGCAGGTCGTGTTTTTCTAATATCTGTTTTCTTGTTTTTCTCATAAGATTGTTTACAAATGAGTGTCTTGTTAATTAAGCAGTCAGGTGAAATGTATTGATTAAATGACCAATCAGGCCCACCTGTACCAGAGCAGTGTATAAAAGAAGCAGTTTCAGTAAGGACAGAGTACTTATGCCACTTCTGACTGTCTCTGTGTCAGTTGTGACTTAACAGTGGCAAATATGCAACTGCAGGGTCAGACTGCCTCAAATAGAAGGAGGAGGGGTGAACTCTTCTGTGGGGTGAATATTTTTAAGGAATCGCTTGTCTCTATCATTAGGAACTACACAACCACAAAAAAACCCAAATGACAAAGGTAAGCTGTAGAACGGTTTGACCTTCAGACACTTGGCTTTTGAGGATATGAAATCCACAGGTTTAATGCCTTAGTCACAAGAAAGAAAAGCAAATGTACAAGTGAAATGCATGCATAGAGACATTTAACCTGTAACATGCATGTATTCTATGCTGATGGAACTAGGGCTGGTGGCCAAAGTCCTGGAAAAAATTGTGAGCCACTTGTGTGGTCTAAAATCAGTGAAATGTGAAGGAGTGACCGAGGCACCAGTGTACCTTTGTGGGCACACATGCTGCTCCAGAATCCCTCCAGACTCCGATTCCCGGACTGGCAACACAGCCAGGGATGATTCAGGAGTGCTCTGTGTCTTCCTACTGATTCTTCCTACAGCACTGTGTTTTATCCTGTACAGCTTGGTGTTCAGTGCTTCTTAAAGCAAGCTGCTCTGAATGGCCTCTCTGGACAATGTTTTTCTTATTCAGCAGACAGGAGGCCTGGGATTTTGGTACCAGTCCAAGGTTCAGAAGACAACTGGAAACTGGTTCTCATGTGAAATGGGAAGTTGACTTTTGTGTGTGAGCCCACCCAAGGGCACCAAGAGCTTTCTGTGCCTCCTGGCTCTTGTTCTCATTGCTGCTCACATATATGATGTATTAAAGCATATTTGAATTGCATGTATGATTTTGGTTTGATTTTAAATACAGGTTTATTCCTTTTATTAATCATTCTCAAGCATCCTCACGTGGTTATGAATATTTCACAGGTAGCCACGGACAAGGACAATGGCATCTTACTGTACAAAGGAGACAATGATCCTTTGGCTCTGGAGCTGTACCAAGGACATGTGAGGCTCATCTATGACACCCTGAGCTCCCCACCCACCACAGTATACAGGTAAGAGGCTAAGCTCTGCCAAGACAGTTGACTTCCAAAACTGGTGGAGGAGAGGTAGAATTTTTCTAAGCAATGTGCATTGGAGAAAAACCTTTTATTTTACTTCAAGGTATCTCTTTTATGCATGTAATTAGATGAGAAAGTCAGAATGAAGACTTAGCTGGAGGCTGCATGGGTAAAAATTGACATTTATTGGCAATACCAGTGATGCTGTGTCCTCCTGTAATTGTAGAAAAATGCATTTTCTAATCTACTGTAAAGTTTCAGCTTCTGGTGAATTTTCTCCTTGAAATAGTTCCAATTAATCAGTTTCTTTGTTGATGTCTAGCATTAAGTGACTGTACCAAGACAGAACAGTGAGTTTGCAACTGCAGGGTTAGACTGCCTCAAACAGCAGGAGGAGGGTTGAACTCTTCTATGGGGTGAATATTTTTAAGGCAATTCTTGCCTGTATTAGTAGTACCTACACAACCGCAAAAAGGAACAAATTACAAAAGTAATTTGTGGAATAGTTTGACTTTCATACACTTGGCTTTTGAGGATATGAAATCCACAGGTTTAATTCACTATTCACAAGAAAGGAAAGCAAATGCACAAGTGAAATCCATGCATAGAGACATTTCTGTAGGATGTGCTGCCCTTTTCCTCCATGGTTCCTTCAGCATCCCTCTCCCCTGGTTGTTATTTTCAAGCCCTGTTGCTCCAGTTTGCTCTGAGCCCAGATGCAGTGCTGACCACACAGAGCATTTTGGGCTGAGCAGAGGCTCTGGCACCGTGTGTGCAGCAGAGCTGCAATTCCCAGCCCAGCTCACGCTGTGGGGAGAGCATCCTGCTGGAGCAGGGGACAGCACGGATGTCACCACACATCACCCACCCCAGACTTCTCTCAGAAAGTTTTCTCGGCACTTGCTAACATTTGAGCCTCCCAGGGACTTTTCTTTAGGGGAATGGTGACATTTTTAAGAAAATGAAAACATTCTTTCTGTATTAAAGCAAAGTGGATAATACCAATGCAGACATGCTGCCAGGAAGAGCACTGGCTTGTCCCCTGTAGGAATGAAGGAAGTAGTTTGCCCATGGTTTTCACCAGCTAGATGGATAGGTGTGAAAAACATCTCTGTGTGTGGCAGCTGATGCTAATTGATCAGCTGTGAGAGCAAAGCTGGGGCTGATAAACAGTTTAATGCTGCTAATTAGAACAGAGGCAAAGCTGGGTTTGTGTCAGGGGTGACAGGTCCATGTGGATGTTTGCTGGCCATGGTCACCATGGCACAGTGGGGACAGGATCTGCTGCCACCAGCACACAAACAACACTCCTTGGGTCTGCTGCACTCTGGGTGGGTGCAGTGTCCTCCTTGTCCCCACCCTTCCCAGGGATCAGAGAGGAGGGCTCCATTCACACTGACACCTCATTACCATGAGATTAATGGCCTGTTCACTGCATTTTGTGCACCCTGGTCTGCTGAGATGGGAAAGAAGCTGCTTAATACGGTGCCCTTTCTGAAATGTCACTCTAATCTTTTATTAGTTTAAGGAGGGAAGCAAAATGGGATTAGCATGGAGCTCGATGGGAAAAGATTAGGTTGATTGAGAAAAACTGCAGCTAAAGAATGTCAGAAGGGGCCTCTAAATAGATTAAAAGTCTTGTTTTCTTTAAAGGCTGAAGGAGGAACAGGAAAACCTGCTTGTCCCCTTGCAAACATAGGATTTAAGGGTAGAAGGCATAAGTGGATCAGGTTTGACCTCTCTGTTTGACTTTTAGCTAAGGCATGTGCTCTGTTTGGCCTAGCACATGACTTCCAGCTTGGCACAGAGTTTTGACAGGAAAACACCAAATAACAGAAAATCCCCCATTTCCTTTTAGCTTGGACAATGGTCAATTATTTCCATTATCCAGGCATTGGCCATCATTTCTAAGTTGTGTCACTAATATCTTCTGGATTGTTTAGAGGCTTTCTCAAGGGAAATTAAAATCTACTTATACCTGGACCTGATTCCCATGAGTTTATCTGGACTTTTATTTGCATTTTCTCCTCATCTGCATTTTGATGAAATGAATGGCTGGTTCAGTGTGATGCATTGTGTCACAACCTGAAGAATTTGGGAAATTCCTTTCTTCAACTTCTACCATTTTCATTTGTCATTAAAAACAAGGTTGCCAGGAGAACCTGTAATATCCTGACCTCACCATTGCTAAAACAGTTTGCCTTCCCTGTTGCTTTGTCCCTGCTGTCTTGTTTTGATGCCTCATTTCAGTTTCAATCTCAGCAAAAGTGGATTGTTTGCCTTTGCAAAGCTCTGTTGAAAGACTGAGATTAATTTTCACAGTCAATATCACATTCTGCTCCCCTCCAAAGCAGTCCACTTTTTGGACTAGATGAGCAGGGCTTTGGCTCTTGGTTTTTCCCCAGAAGAGTCTGCCAGAAGAGGAGGAGGCCTTAAAATGCTGCCTGGTGGGAGCTGTGCCAGCTACAGCTGCAGGAAATCTGTCCCTGACCTGGTCCTGGGCTGTAACTGAGATGCTTTGCTGGCTATTTCAGGTACTCCCAGGATGGGATGTGGGAAGTCATTGGCCAACCACATGATCTGTAATTCCTCATCAGTGTCTCCATGATAAGATTTATTAATAGTACTTACAAACAGTAAAATTAGCAAAGAACTTGGCTACTACAGGTGATATCCTGTAGGGATGAGATAAAAGCTGTTGGTTGGGAAGCCAGCAGTGAGTCAGTCACACTTGGTGGTATTTTTCCATGGTATTGCACAAAGCTGGGGGAAGGTTTGCAGCAGGCACAGGGGGTGCTCTCAGCTGGCTGTGAGCTCTGAGCCTGGCTCTGCTGCAGAGCTGCTGAGGGCATTGCAGGGCAGGCATGTGCCACAGGAGGGGACTGCCAGGAAAGAGATTTCCAACTCCTTTGGGAAGGCAGGGTGCCCCTGGCTACCACAGGGAACCTGTTCCTGTGTTTTAGTCGCTCCTCTGAGCAGATTGAACCAGAACTGCTTCACAAAGTCAGTCTGGAAAAGCCCAAGATAATTGGCTGTACATTCAGGTTTGCTTAACATGTGTTTGTCCCTGTGGTAGTTTGGATAGAAAGGTTAAAGTTGACATTGGGCTTCTCTTTCATTCTAGTCAGGTAAAGGTCAGCACATGTCCAGTGGAAATGACTACCTAAAATTCCCTGTCATTTTTCATCAAGTTAGAGAGAAATACAAGTTAATGCAGTAATATAATATAATGCAGTGACAGAACTCGCCCTTTAAAAGAAAATCTGACTCATCTTTTACTGGAACCTGTCACTTGTGCGCTGCAGAAAAATGGTTTTCTGGACATCAGAGTAAAGCTCTTACAGAAGATCCATTTTTGAAACAGGATTCCAAGTTACTGTTTCTTTTATTCTATTTAATGGACAAATGAGAATAGGAATCTTTTTTTCTGAATGCTTTATTGCCCTCCTGGTTTCTGCACTGCTCAGAGTTACTCTTCCATGCCATGACAGTGCTTGGTGCCACTCCAACAGTGAGTTCTAGAAATGAAGTATATCTTTTACACAGATGCTGTACCTTAATTTAAAGATGCCAACTGGTAAGGAACATGCTGCTTTTGCTTACTGCCACAATCCAATTGTTAAAAGTTTGAATTAACAAAGAGCAGTTAATTCCATAGTTCCAGCATTCAGCCAATGACACTGCTATCCATTTAACTGTATTCTATAGGGAGAACTCCCTATTTTCAGTCTTTTTTCCCACATCTGTTCCTTGAGCCAGAGATAAGACCTTACTTGTAAACTTTTCTCCAATAGATTTTATGCTGCCACACAGTCATATTGATTTGGATGCTGAAATAATCCTTCCTAATACAAATGGAAAACAGAACTTTGACACAAACTGCTGATGTAATTCCCTCCAGAGTTCCCAGATTGCCATGTTGCATACAGACTGTTATATCTGGTGAAGAGCAAGATGCAGGCGTTGTTGGTGTAAAGTCATATGTTTTCATGCAAGATTCCTGACAGCAGTGAAAAAGGAGGCAGTTAGGGAAAGATAAGAATGAATTATATTTGTCTTTCTGTAGAGATACACCCAAATTACATTTTAATTCCTTTTAAAAGTATCCTTGCATAATCTGCTTTCAAAAATGCTACATCATTAAAAATATTCCTTGTAGATGGTATCATGCAGTTCTCATGGTCTGGCTGACTCTTACACAGCATAGATGGATGTTCTTGTGATTAAAGCAAAAGGCCTGAAATAAAGGAGCTTACATTCCTGCTGTATCTCCTTCACATGTGATGACTGCAAGACGACAAATTAAATCTGGTTCCCTGTGCACACTGAAAAGTTGAGAATGAATAACAGAAAAGGTGTTTCAGAAATGTGCTGCAGGTCTCTGCAGGGTGAGGTTCCTGCTCCCCTGTCCCTCCAGGCTGTGGAACAGCACAGGGTTCTTTATGCTGGTGGCATCTGCAAACTCCTGTGTCCTTCCACTCCCTCGGGCTCTGCCTGTGGCTCTGGAGCCTGGGAGCTGCTGGAGCCCAGTGTCCAGCACTGTCCCTGGCCAGGCCCCTGCTGGAGGGATGTGCTGCTCCCCAAGAACTGTGGTCCTCTACTCCAGTTTCTGCTGGTGCTGAAGTTGAACAGTTGCTTTGGTGGTGGAACATCCACACCTTCCACAGAGAGGGATTTTGTGCCCTTGTCTCTTTAGCTGGAGTTGCTTATCTGCAGAAAAGCCTGGGAGGCTTCACCATTAATTCTCTGCCTTCTGGGGAGGAATGTGCCGGAGGAGTGAGAACATTAATTATTCCTAGGATCATTATTAGAGCTTGTCAAACTCAGTTTTTGGTAAAAAGTGTCTTTGCAGAGTGCACTGCATGACTGCTCCTGTTCTTCCTAACACCTTCACAGTCTGCAGCCCATGCTGTGCCCATCCCTGGTGGGATGCCTGTTTGATACTCTGGATGGGCTCTAAATGGACTGTTTTTCAGTCATTTCTGTGAGGCATC